TATTAGAGGAAAAGTTTAGAACGGAATGCAATACAGTAGAGAAAATTATCTCTTACAACAGCCTTACAAAAGTGCTGGGTATACTGTGGTTCTAGTGAAGGAATCTCTCTCTCTCTCTCTCTCTCTCTCTCTCTCTCTCTCTCCCTCACCCACACACACACACACACACACACACACACACACACACACACACACACACACACACACACACACACACACACATCCATCCACCCACCCTCCCTCCATTTCCCCCCTCCATTTTGTACATTTAAATAAGCTTGATGAAGTCCTCGGTCTCTCGCACCTTTCTTTCCTCCTTCCCTTGCGTGCTCCTTGATCCTTTCCCTCCCGCTGCTTCTTTGCAGTCATTTCTGGAGGAAGCAGTCATTCAGAAGCCCAGGATTGATTGATTGCCCAGGGCTAATCCACAGCTGTAACTGATCAAGGAGGTTTATTTCCGATCTCTAAACGAATGGAAGATTTATGAGTGCCCTGCTGCAACCAAGGAAGTAACAGGGAGAGGTGGCTTAACAATTTGAGGTTTGGCTCCAGAGGGTGGGGGTGGGTGGGAGGGAGGGGGTAGCAGTCTGCTCAATACCCCCAGGATTTTCACTTTTACCCAATTTGGAGTAATTTACCCCTGTTCTCTGACCTATGCTCTAGGTGGTTGGCAGCCAGTGTTATAACCGTTTAAAGTGCAGATGGATTGATTTGTCAATTTGTTGAAGAATGTATTCGCAAAGGCTTTCAGGGCACAGAGTGCTACTCCAGTCCTCTGAAGATGCCGGCCACAGAGACTGGTGAAACATTAGGAAGAACAACCTTCAGAACACGGCCAAAGAGCCCGAAAAACGCACACAGTTGTCGAAGAATATTTGTATATTCGTATTTTGTATATTCGTATTTGTTAATCTGAATCTTTTGTATATTCGTATTTGTTAATCTGAATCAAAATGAATCACCTTTTTTTTATTTGTCCCCATCTCTATTCAGCACCCTCAGGGCACAGTCAGTGGTGAAGGAGGAGGACAGAGCCCTGCTTCATGATAGGTGATTGGGAAGGGAACCTTTACTCCCTACTCCCAGGAGTAATTTTTGAAGCTTTTCAAGGGAGCCTGATCTTCCTTAAGCAAATCTCTAAGGAGAAATGAATCTGCTTAATGGGCTAGGGCTAGGGCCTGGTAGGAATCTCCAATGTTAGCCTACCTGGTAAGGATTTTCAGCGTTAGATCCAAGGATAGCAGCAGGGATAGAGTTGAGCCTGCTTGTACTCTTACAGAAGATGCTGTTATACAGAGCAAGGCAGGCATTAAATCTCCCGCTCTAAGTCCTTACCTTCCTCCTGTTCAAATAGACATTATTCTTCATCTGGCAGAATGGGATGATCAAGCCATAAAAAAGTCACAGCCAACTCAATAGTTTGTCATACTACCATGGATTTGCCCCTTGTCAGCAAAAGGGTTGCATCCAGAATTAGAGATTCTCCCACTAATAATCCTTTCCTTTGGAAGAAAAGACAGCAGAGGTGGATTCCAAAGGCCTTCTCTTAGTTGCAGATTTTACTCCTCCACCACTTTTTGGACTCTTGGCCAGAAGGGGAAATAGGGTGGTGATCTTTGTGATAGGCAGAACGAAGAAATATCTGTCCCAGGAAGCTCTCACCTGTGATGGTGGTTCTTCGAGTGGTTGTCTACGAATTCACACACATGGGTTGTTCTGTGCCTGCACAGAGTTGTTCAGACATGTGCAGAGCTAGAGACAAGCTTTTCCATAGTGGTATAGACCATAGACGTTGCCAACCCCTCAACACATGTCTCAGTGTGGCTCCCATCCTTTCCTTCAGTTTCTTGCACTCTGCAGTTGCAGCAGAGCAAAGAGAATGTAATCCGAGTGAGTGTGATCCTAGTTGAGAGGAGGGAGCTGAGTTGTGTCCTGCTTAAAGGACCACAATTAAAGTAAGCAATCTCTTCTTCTTTGTGGTCTGTGAATGAATGACTGTAGCTGCACTCACTACTTGGTGAAAGTGTGCGTTAATGTCAAACTGAAGAAAGGACTGCACAGCTGAAGGCTGTAGTGCTCGAGGAACGTAGAAGATTGCAGTCATGTAACAATGTCTCTGCATGCAGGACAAAGACTATCCTGGCAACAGAGCTGAGATTAGCCCCTATGCAAAGGAGATTAAGCTGAGATTGGTGAGAAGGCACAGGGTTACATGGATAACCTGGTAAAAATGGAATTGGAGGAGTGCCATTCTCAGGCAGTCATCTATGTAGTGGTACACCTTGACCCCAGGGTGAGAAGCTGTATCACTAGAGTATACAAATGCTATTTTGAAGTGTGGTGGAAATTTTGAACTGTGGTTTTTCAGCATTATTTCAGTATGTTTTATATCAAAGAGTACAACTAAAATATAAAGTAAAATTCAGAGTTGGCTATGTTTGGTTAGTGTGTGTGTGTTCGTGTGCATGTGTGCAATATCTTATATGTATATTTCACTTGCTAGCTCGAGATTATCCTTGGATACTTAAGAACAAACGTCCGGAAAAGCTGCGAGACACACTTAAGGAGCTGGAGGTACCTTTCAGAAAGTTTCAAATCTAGTAACAATCCAGGTTTTCAAATCTCTTTCAACAGCTTTAAGTTTCATTTAAAAATCATCCTTTTTAGTGATGAATATACTTTTGTGTGGTGGGCTATCCAAAATATTTTCATCTTTGCTTGAAATGTCAGGCAATCTTGCCTTATAAATGAGAAACTAGTTAACCACAAGTGAAATACATACAACTGTCTGTTTTCTGTTGTTATGCAGGAACTGATGCAAAACAGACAGTGTGTACTGAGCAAATGGAGGAGCAAGTCTATCTGTCAGGTAAATATTTTGACATGCTCTTGCAGTATTCAGTCAACAGAGCTGAACAGTTGTTAAGAGATTGATGCCGAGGGACAAAATTAACTGGCAGAGGAACATGCTATTAGAATGAGTTTGTTAAGAATATTTTAATGCTTATATTTATTTTAATAATAAAATGATACAAGATTCGGCTAAAATTCTCCATTGTGAAAATGGCTGTACGTATTTAAATAAAAAGATAGTCGTGTAAATTACATGACAGCTTGTGTTCCCATTTATAGTTTGAAGTATTTAGGTTCCAAGCCTGTGCCACTTGGGTAAGTTCAGTTGACCTCTTTTGGACTTTAAAAAAAACATGCTTACAATTGTTGTCTCACTGACTTTCAACTGGATTTCCATGGAATTGAGAATTTAGTGGAAGAACATAGGCAGAGGATCCTTAAATGTTATACTTGAATGAACGGTATAATAGGATTGTCACTGTATTTAAACCCCTTCTATACAGGAAGTCTACAGTTAAGCATCCTTGACAAGTGACCATCCAAACTCTGTTTGGGAACTCTAATGAAAGAAAGCCCACCACCTTCTGAGGTAGTCCATTCCATTGTTGCACATTGCTTACTGTCAGGAAGATTATCCCAATGTGTCAAAATCTCCTTTGTTGTAATCTGAATCCATTACTTTGGGTTCTCTGGAGCTATAAAAAACAATCTCGCTTCATTTATTCATTCATTTTATTTATATATCTCCCAACTGGTCTTAGACCACTCTGGGTGATTTACAACGTAAAACAGGAAACAAAAATTAATAATCAAAAATCATAAAAGCAATACAAGTATAAGAAATATGTATTCACGAAGGCTTTAACAGTCGGGATCTAATAGTTGTTCTGGGTTTTTCGGGCTCTTTGGCCTTGTTCTGAAGGTTGTTCTTCCTAACATTTCACCAGTCTCTGTGGCCGGCATCTTCAGAGGACAGCAACCTGTGCTCTGGATAAGAAATATGCTATAGGAATAATGAGATGATTAAAATACATTCTACAATGTTCTAAATTTTCCACATGGCTGCCCTTAAACTCTTCGAGGATGACTATCATATCAACTCCAGTTCTTTGTTTCTCCAGGATAAATATACTGTACTCAGCCACCTCACTTGTTTATCATTAAACTTAGTTTCCAAACCTTTTCAGTCTTGGTCACCCCCATCTGGACATCTTCCATGCTCTCAATATCCTTCTTATACTGTGGTGTGCAGAACTGGACATAATATTCCAAGTGAAGTCTGACTAAAGTAGAGTAGAATGGTATTATTACTTCCCTTAATCCAGACACTATACTTTTGCCAGGGCATCCTAATATTGCAACAGTTTTACGCAGTGTTGACTTGTGTTTAGCTTGTGATCTACTAAAATCCCTAAATCTTTTCAGAAGTTCTGCTTAGCCATCTGTCACCCTTTTTATATTTAATAATCTGATTTTTCCTGCTCAAAAGCAGGATTTTGGATGTTATTTTCTTTGGTTTGATGTGGTTGTCCAATCTGTTAAGGCATCTTGAAATCTGATTCTGTCCTGAAATATTAGCTACCCCTCCAAGTTTATTATCATCTATAGATTTTATTAGCATCCCATCCATGCTTTTATTTGAATAATTTGTAAAGATATTGAACAACATTAGGTTCAGGGCAAGGTCCTGTAACAGCTCGTTTGTAATGATTCTCCAGAGTGATGATGAATCACTGGTGACTATTGTATCATCCATCTACCGGATACAAACCCACCTAACTACCAGCATTGTCTAGCCCACATTTTACCAATATGGCCACAAGAATACCATGAGAGACTTTTACAGAAATCAAAATAAGCTACATCCCCAGTATTCCCCTCATCTAGTGAGCTTGTGAGTCTATTTTTAAAAAATACACACATAAAATTAGTCTGGATTACTTTTCTTGAGAAATCTGTGCTGGGTCTTAGTAATTACAGTGTTGTTACTTAAGTCTTCAGAGACTAATTGTTTAATGGTCTGTTTTGAAACCTTTCTTGATATTGATATCAAGCTGACTTACTGGTAGTTGCCTGGATCCTCTTTTTTGTTTTTAATTTTGCCTTTTTGAAAGTAGGGATGGTATATGCTCACCTTCAGTCTTTACAGATTTCATGTTGTCTTCACACATTCTCCAAATTCTGAGACAACATCTACGAGTTCCTTTAGTTCTCTTGGATGTAACTCATCTGACCCTACACAGTTAAATTCATTTAAAGACATTGGGTGGTTCCCATAAGCATTTGTCATTCAAAATTATTTAAAAATGTGCAACATGATGACAGGACCAGTAAAATAATCACCCATCTACATTAAATCTCAAATGGAATTAATTGCTCAGAGTGACACATCTGTATTCTGTCTATATGAATATCTGTATAATGCATAGCAAAACATCTGCTCACATCCTTGTTAGCAATATGAAAAGTGGGAACAGGTTGGCATCTTAAAGTGTGTGAGACAGCATTCTAATTTACAGCCTTTTCTTGAAATATGTTTAATGTAGTAACTCAGTAAAAGCTATTTCTGGATTTTTATCCTTGCTGTTTAGCAGACATTTTCTTGAGCTTTCCACAGCTTACCAGAAAGGGTTGTATTTTTATTATTACCAATATACAGCTTAACACTTAGCCAGCAGCTCTGGTAACAACGAAAAACAAACTGAATTTATTGGTCATTGTAGCTCTTATTTCAAAAACTGAAATTGGCATGCTCAACATTTATAATACAGTGGTGCCTCGCATAACGTTTTTAACAAATAGCTACAAAACAGCAAGTTTTAAAAAAGGTAGTGATTTATGCTAAGCTACAGTAACCACCTGGTTGAGACTAAACTTACTTGAAAGTAAATCCCATCAAAAGTAAACACCATTGAACTTACTTGAGAATAAACCCCACTGAAAACATAGTTTCAATTAAATACTTGTTTGTTTGTTTATTAAATTGGTATTGTTGTTTAGTCATTAAGTTATGTTCGGCTGTTCATGACCCCATGGACCAGAGCACGCCAGGCCCTCCTGTGGTCTTCCACTGCCTCCCGGAGTCTGGACAAACTCATGTTGGTAACTCCAGTGACACTGTCCAACCATCTCGTCCTCTGTCATCCCCTTCTCCTCTTGACATCACACTTTCCCAGCATCAGGGTCTTTTCCAGGGAGGCTTCTCTTCTCATGAGATGGCCAAAGTATTAGAGCCTCAGCTTCAGGATCTGTTCTTCCAGTGAGCACGCAGGGTTGATTCTTCTTTGTGGTCTCTGTGAATGCACACTAATGGGTTAATCTGCACCTGAGCAGAGCAGCTTTGGAATCTTCTAGAGCTTAAGCACATGGGGCCGGGACCTCCCACATGCCGGCTATAACCCTGTCCCAGGCACCGAGTGCCTCAGTTACTTTTTATGCCGCCGCTACTGCAGCAACGTGAATCGGAGCTTTGTGTGTTTTTCCCTTTTTTATTTTTTAAATCAATCACAGACCTCCCTGTTCTTTTACCTCAGCTTGTTGACTGTTCTTTGGTAATTGTGAGTCTGATTTGAAAGCGTAAAAATATTTGTAGCGTCAGGTTTATGACCATGTCGGGGCCTTTCGGATGCTGTGCATCCTGCAATAGTAAGGTGCCTCTTTCCAACGATCATTCACAGTGTTTATTTTGCCTCAGCAAAGAACACCAGCCTGCCTCCTGTAGTTTCTGCAAAGCTTTTACTAAGCCCACATTGAAGCAGGGACTTCAGAAATTGCATTCCCATTTGTGGGAAAAATCTCTCTGCCCTACTTGGTCTACAATGGAACCACCGCATGCTCCTCTTTCTGGAGCTTCTCCAGCTGCTAGTCGTTCCCCGTCCGAGAGTAGGAAGCTGGCAAAATCGGTGTCCTCAAGCTCGCGACTGACAGCTTCGGAGTCGACATCGAAGCCTCCTTTGGGTTTGATGTCAAAGAAGAAGAAGTCCTCTTCTAAGATGACTAAACCTCCATCTTTGCGGCCAGCGTTGGTGTTGCATATCCGGCATGAGCCGGTCTCTGTTATACTGTCGGGAGATGAGGATATTCCTCCCTCGGAGCTGGAGATGCTTGCCTCCCCCTGCATGAGCCTCTCTCCTGAGTCTGTTCATAGCTCGGTCGAGATTCAGCCGGAGACTTGGACCAGCCCTGGTTCTCCACCGGGCTCGGTCGCAGATGCTCCCCACAAGAAGAGACAGAAGACGTGGCACCTCAACCCCGAGCCTGATCATACTTGGCATCAACCACCGGTGAGAGATCCCTCTGCCTATGGTGAATGCAGATATCATCCCTGGGACTACCCGTGAGGCTACTATCTGCCAAGAGGCTTTGGCTTTGAGGGCCCTGGGTTCCCGGTGGTTAGTGGATAAACTTGGATTACTGTGATGTTGAAAGGTCTACCTTGGATTCATATTGAAATCATTCTATCATTTTTGAGATTGCATCCCAGTATAGAGTTTTGCTATAAGAAGCTGATGATCAGAGCCACAGTCAGCTCCAGGTCTTGTTTTTGCAGACTGTATAGAGCTTTTCCATCTTTTGGCTGCAGAGAACATAATCAATATGATTTCGGTATTGCCCTTCTGGTGATGTTCATGTGTAAAGTCACCTCTTATGTTGCTGGAAAAGAGTGTTTATAATGACCAGCTTGTTCTCTTGACAGAACTCTATTAGCCTTTGCCCTGCTTTGTTTTAAACTCCAAGGCCAAACTTACCTGTTGTTCCTTTTATCTCTGAACTCCCTACTTTAGCATTCCAGTCCCCTAGAATGAGAAGAACATCTTTCTTTGGTGTCAGTACTAGAAGGTGTTGTAAGTCTTCATAGAATTGTTCAGTCTCTTCAGCATGGGTGGTTGGTGCATAAACTTGAATTACTGTGATGTTGAAAGGTCTGCCTTGCATTCTATCATTTTTGAGATTGTATCCCAGTACAGCTTTTCCCACTCTTTTGTTGACTATGAGGGCTACTCCATTTCTTCTATG